AACAACTCATCCACCACATCTAATAAAATATTATTTTCATCCAACAACTTATTCATCACATCCATCACATCTAATAAAATATTTTTTTCATCCACAACATCACTCAACTCATCCCATCTCATATTTAAAAATCACTCACATCATCCAATAAGATTGTGACAACTCATCTCATCTCATTAACATTTTATTTTTTTGTTTTCCTCCCAAAAAGCTAGGAAAACAATTTCCTTAAGTGTGCGTCACATCATCCATTAATATAATGACAACTCATCTCATCTCATATATTTTCTTATTTTTAAGAAATAACCAAACAAAAGAAAACAACCTAATACAAGAAATATGTTTCTTATAATTCATTTCCTTATTTTTTTTCCGCCAACCAAACAACATCAAAACAAGTTTTCTTAAAAAATCACTCACATCATCCTATAATAAGGTGACAACTCATCTCATCTCATCTCCATTTCTTTGATTTCCTTCTTTTTTTAGCCAACCAAACAATCCCAAAACCTATTTTTCTTAGAAATAGGTTTCCTTTTCTTTGATTTCCCTCTTTTTTTAGGCAAACAAACAGCCCCTAAAAGAAAATAAAAATATCCTTCATCATATTTTAAGCCCAAGAGGTTTCTTTTAGACTATTGGGCCAAAATGGCCTTTTATACAACTCTATAGCTTTTGTCTTGCTAGACTATTTGTCATGATGCTAGAGTACAATTAATGGATCGATTGGGCTGGGCCAAGAGTCATACACAAATCATTAAAAAAAAAGAATTATGCACGAACCATCCCGTAATCCGTGGGTGTTCTATCAGCACTAAACAAAGCATGATTTGCTAAATAACTTGGGCTAAATAGCTCTTAAATACCTTATAGTTTCAATCATTTTGCACTTATACATCATTACTTAGTTTTTTGCAGCATTTATATACCCTAAGTTATCTAAACTTATTGGCACTTTGCCACCCTAGTTTGTGCAGATGTAAAAATTTTATGTCTACATTTCAATCATTTATATACCCTAATGTTCAAATGTGATACTTGCGTGCTACTTGATTCAAAGTATCATGCGAGAATATATATTGGGGAGAAATTTTTTATGTCTACACAATAGAGATAGCAATGTGTACAATTTAAACAACCCGGGGTATATAAATAATACGAAATTGTATATAAGTGCAACGTCAGTGGAACTATAAGATATTTAAGTGCTATTTAGCCAATAACTTATCACTGTCAAACCATTGAAAAGAAATTTCTTTCTTAAAATCGCATGACATTGACAGGGAAAGGTTTGGCGAGCCGAAGTGCTAACCAATATAAGTCACCTCAATCACAAACTAATCCTCACCTTAACCAACTTCTCTTTTGGTCTTATGAAGAGACAAACCCTTTTTCTCTTATGTGTTTTTTCTTAAGAAACCTTTTTTTTCTTAAAACTTTAAGAGAGAAATAAAGATCTCCAATCATGTCGAGCTCTTTGTTTACTTAACGGTACGTTGTTGCTCTCTATAAGTGGATGCACTAAAGAATCTTCTCTATATCGAGTCTTTGCTCTAGCCACTTTAGAGCTTTAGATAGATGTAGGGGCTCACATTCTACCCAAACTTAAAAGCAATTTTCTTTGACTTCCAGGCTTTGATTCATAGATATCCATAAAATAGTTACTTGATACACAAGTCCTTAATTATTATGAGATTACCTACCCTAAAAACCAATCCCTCAAGTGCCACACATGGAATCCAAAACATACGAATTATCTTAACTTGTTGCCCTAAAAACCCTCTGCTTCCTTTTTATTTTAATTTTAAAGGTGGTAAGCTAGCCTATATGGTCATTGAGTATTATGTATTTGGATTATTTGGATTCAGTACCATAAAAAAAGTAATAGAGAGACAACTACTATATTACAACCGTTAATTTGTTTAACGGATGATTGTGATTTGCCTTTTCATGCAAATTAGGAAACGAGTGCAAATCGCGAGGATAATAGTGGGTGTTGGATTTGAAATGAATCACAACTACGTACCAAACAAATTAATGATTATGATTAGTATAGTTGTCTCTCCACTACTTTTATTCTTTGTAGCGGAGAGGATCCAAATTCTATTTGATGAAGGCAAGGGACGGACCCTCCCTTGGTACAAAGAAATTAGGCCACGAGTTCCATGGACGACGTCGAGGTCTCCTAGTTCAACAAGAATGCAAATGATCGAGTGGGATAACAGTTCTACGACATTACTCATTGGAAAACCCGCATGATGCGAGAAGGACAGGCACTTTGTTGGAAAAACAGTAGCGATCGATATCGTGATAACGTTGATATGAGAGGCTGGTGATGTCCATGTAGCACTTTTAATTCGTGGACAATACCAACTACGTTTGTACTGATTATTTGCAATAGTTTTCTTTAATTTGAAGCTACTATGTTGATGCAAAAAATGTAAAATTTGGAGAAAAACAATTATTGTCTCACTAGTAGATAATTCCTTAGGGAGATCCTTGAACTAGTGACTCGTGTGGAGATTCTGTGAGAGATCATTGAACTATGTTCTTAATTGTTCTTTTTTATAAATTCCTCAACAGGTAAACATTGCGTATGTGTGCGCACGTTATAATTTACCTCCTCGTTTCAGACCCTTAATAAAATGCTATTAGACTAAGATACTCCTAATATCACCTTTTTTTTTTAAGAAAATTAAAAGCAAATATAATTATGCACATAGTTCCAACATCTAAAGCTGCCAATTCTTTATTTTGAAGCTTGATCCTCATGTCCTGGATCTCCTCAGTCTATATGCTTGATTAAGGCAGGGCTAGAACTATCATAGTATTATTTTAGAACATGACCAGCTAATAAGTCTCCAATACTGAGCAAGGTAAAATGGAGTAGTGACCACATTCTCAGTTTGGCCTTCAAGCAAGATTCCCATGTGCACCTATTTGTTAGCATCCTATGATCACTTTCCTATAGCTAGCCAAAGGGGGAGGGGGAAACTTTGCACTTGAAGTCTCTAATATTTTATTATTGGTCACTAACTCCAATTAAGAATGTGATCATCTAGGGAAGAAGAGCTCCCTATTAATGGAGACACATGTTTTTGTGCTTTTGTTGGTTACTAGCCTCTGCTTAATTAGTCCTCTGATGCCTATTTTAGATAAAACCAATTTGCATCAAGAAAGAGGCAACTAAAATATTGATTAGGAATGATCTTATGGATTTCCATAGGGTTAAATATTATATGTTCTCGAAGCTTTTTGTCTTAAGTAAAGGTGATCAGTACTATAATATAAGGCCATCATTTATCTAGACTAAACTCAACATACTGTTTTTTTTAGAGTAAATATATAACTTGAATCCACTTCTTCACTTAATTTGATATATAGTTTTAGCTGATGATCATCAGGTTAAACTTGCAGCAGTGCATTTTAGATTTAAAAATGAAGCTTGAAATTTGGCTTTCAATTCCAGGTGATCGACTCGTAAAAATCATATATAAAGGAAATATTAGGGATCAATGCTAGCTTGATAGTGTTGAATAGTTCTTCTGTAAAATGACTTGTATGATGCACTTTGGATCAGATGACAAATCAATTTCGTTTTAATTTATTTTAGATTGTTCAGAATTTTTATTTATAAATGGATCGATCGTTAGCATCGTGTTTAACACGCAAATGAGATCAGAACAGGTCATATGACATATGCTCAAGAATAATGCAGCTCTCACATATATCTCACACGCAAATGAGATCAGAACAGGTCATATGACATATGCTCAAGAATAATGCAGCTCTCACATATATCTCACCACATTTAAGCATGCATTATTACGATATGACATATGCTCAAGAATAATGCAGCTCTCACATATATCTCACCACATTTAAGCATGCATTATTACGTTTTTTGCTAATCAACTTGATTATTTAATAGCAATACAATAAGATGTAGGCATTAATGATACATGCTGTGCACATGTGGCTTCTCATGATGTATAGTTAGCATAGTATAGAGTGGTTATATTAAAATTTTGATCACATGAGATAGATGCTTTTTTTCCTGATTCCTGGCATGAGAAAAGACTGTGAGGAGTTCCACAAGAGAATCCTAGTGCAGGTTTTGTCTCTTCCCCCGAAGTTTTGATTGGTTGATTTTGGGGACTAAGTCTCCATCTTGCCCATTAATTAATTGATTGATCTTAATGCCTCTTCCTCTTTATTTGTTTCTTTCATTTTGACTTTTTGAACCATAAAATCTTAGTAGCAAAGTCACTTCTCTTTCTGAACTTTAACATATTTAAGTAGTACCATCTACTTTCAAAAAATTACACATAACTACAACTACAGCTCACAAGAGATTACTGAGTTATGCAAATCTCAAGTGATCGAGAGATGAAATCTAGCTAGATCATCTATTTGTTATTAGATTCACATGTCAAGCTAATGTACATTCAAGAAAAAGAAACACTTGCCTAACTATATTAACTCTGTAATAGTCAAGATGTGTGCTATCAAGAAAGCGAGAGCTCATAAGCTTAGAAGGCAAAATGAGATAATCATCACATCAAAAACTTATAATAGTGCCAAGCACACCTCACAATGTCCAAATATTAGAAATGTTAATGTCATCATGAAAATGACACTCAAACTTTTAGCTCATCATAAAAGCCAAAGACCCCTAATTAAAAACAGCCTATATATGAGTTAATCACTATAACAAGAGCTCAAAGCTCACTGTTTCCGAACCCCTAATATTAATAATGCAAGGTTTAAGCCTTCTAGCTAGTTAGGCTTCATTTCTTAATCCACACCTAATCATGTGGACAACTAGCCTATACATCATGCTATACTGGCCATGGTCCCCTCAAGCGGCGCTAAAAAAATTCAAAAAATTAATTAACTGCAAAAGCATTAATTTAAGAGAAATTAATATGGGATTAAAAAAAAGAGCATAAAACTGAGAACCCAATATACTACAATTCCACCCCCCCTATCTCCTCTTTGTCTTTCTTTCTTTTGCGTGTGGAGAAGCGCTTGGCTCCGCATAAAGTCAGCGCCCTCTCTTTCTCCTCTATATCATAAGCCTCCTCTTTGTCTGTATCACCTCTCGATCTCCTTTATACTCCTCTTGTTTTTGTTACTTGGGTGCAAAATTCATGTACGTGCATATATGAGCTTCTTTGGTCAAAGCATGGAGAGTAGAGTGCAGGGTGATCTCGTTGATGTGATCCGAGGAGGAGGAGGAGGAGGAGGAGGAGGAGGAGGAGGTTTTCTGCGAGCGTCGACGAATGAGTTCGAGGTTTCGGGGGAGAAGGTTTCAGCTGATGCTGTTGATGCAGCGTTACTCTCTTCCCCTAGGGGATCAAAGAGAAGGTACGTGTATACATATAGGGCACAAGTCAAATATGTATGAACTTGTGGGTTTTTTTTAGCTAATTTGAAGGTATATTACAGAATTTGGTCTATTTGAAATCATGATTAGCAAGTGATTTTTCGATGCATGACGAGGTTAGTCTTGTCTGTAACGGTCAATATTGGTAAAAGTTAATATGATTATTTCTAGACCTTCTGCAGTTAGTCATAGAAAAGATCTAGCTAGCTAGTGTATCTTTTTAGAAGTTTTTTTTTAAATTACTACCTTTTCTATGGAAAGTTATAATTACAGACCAATTAATGTTTTATTTAAACGAAATTGAATGTATACATATGTGAATCTGTCAGGATCTGGGGGGAAACGCAATTAATTTCTTATTTCTAAGAAACCGACTTGAATATTACATGTTGTGCAGAGTATTAATTCTTTCATGTCAGAAACCTGCATTATTTAGAACATATTAATTGCAACTTAATAATGGTTGTATGTGTTAATAATGTGCAGAAAAGGGCTGGCAAAAAGAGTAGTTTGCATTCCAGCGCCAGCAGCAGACCAGGAGAGCAATAATAAGAGCAGTGCAAGTGGGAGTGTAGTGGTTCCCTCTGATCTTTGGGCGTGGAGGAAGTACGGACAGAAGCCCATCAAAGGCTCCCCTTATCCAAGGTTAATTAATTTTCTCTAATTTTATTTAACACCTCTTTCTTTCCCCTTTTTCATTTTCTTTCCTTTCCTTTTAGGACCTGTTTGGTTATTTCCTAAAAAACCAATAAATAAAAATGAAAATCAAGAAAACTCAAAAGTTACAATTTCATCCATTTCCATCCCTAAAACTTACGGAAAATGATAGGGGCACACCTCCAACCACAACCTCAACCACACCCTCTCTCTTATTTGCTACAGTGCACCGGGTCCCACATGGGATTTTAAAAATTTAAAATCTCATGTGGGGCCCGGTGCACTGTAACAAATGAGAGGGGGTGTGGTTGATGTTGTTATTGGGGGTGTGCCCCTAGTGCCACCCAAAACTCACCCACAACATCTAATAAAATATTATTTTTATCCAACAACTCATCCATCACATCTAATAAAATATTATTTTCATCCAACAACTCATCCACCACATCCACCATATCTAATAAAATATTATTTTCATCCAACAACTCATCCACCACATCTAATAAAATATTATTTTCATCAACAACATTACTCAACTCATCTCATCTCATCATTTCAAATCACTCACATCATCCAATAAGATGGTGACAACTCATCTCATCTCATTAACATTTCATTTCCACTCATTTCCTCCTAAAAAGCTAGGAAAACAATTTCCTTAAGTGTGTGTCACATCATCCAATAATATAATGACAACTCATCTCATCTCATCTATTTTTTTATTTTTAAGAATGAACCAAACAAAAGAAAACAACATATTACAAGAAATAGGTTTCTTCATTTCCTTATTTTTTTTCGCCAACCAAACAACTTCAAAACAAATTTTCTTAAAAAATCACTCACATCATCCTATAATAAGATGACAACTCATCTCATCTCATCTACATTTCTTTGATTTCCTTCTTTTTTTAGCAAACCAAACACTCCCAAAACATTTCTTCTTAGAAATAGTTTCATTTCTTTGATTTCCTTCTTTTTTTAGCAAACCAAACACTCCCAAAACATTTCTTCTTAGAAATAGTTTTCCATTTCTTTGATTTCCCCATTTCTTCTTAGAAATAGTTTTCCATTTCTTTGATTTCCCACTTTTTTTAGGCAAACAAACATACCCTTATTCCCTTCCATTTTTCTCATTGTGCGTAGCTGGAAAACTTATATATTCATTTTCTTTTCATGCTTCACTTAAAAATATAACCTTGCCAGAGTAAACATGTATTGGATTTCAAGTAATACACTGTCCATTAATATTCTTCCTTTGCTAGAAACATGTATTGGATTTCACATGCACGAAATTTCATCTATCAATAAAGTATATGTTCTACATTCTCATCAACTTACAAAAAGTTCCTAAATTTGTTATACGTAAGTTTTACGCAGCTCAAATCAAATGTTGTGTCTACTACCTGTACGTATATATATCACCTATAACATACCATAGTTTGAGGCAACATGTAAAATATTTTCTGGATCAGTGCAATCATATTAAACTAATTGTTCGGTAATTTTCACACAACTATCAACAAACTCAACTATATCTCAATTAATAAAATTCATCAAAATATCTATGGTACGTCCTAGTAATAACTGTTTTTGATTAATATTTCAGGGGGTATTATAGGTGCAGCAGCTCAAAAGGGTGCTCAGCAAGAAAACAAGTAGAGCGCAGCCGCAACGACCCAAACATGTTGGTCATCACCTACACCTCCGACCACAACCACCCCTGGCCCACCCACCGGAACTCCCTCGCGGGCTCCACACGGTCCAAAAATTACAACAATGCCACCGCCGCCACCGCCACCACTGATGCAAACAAGAATCAAACCTCACCCTCTACCTCAAAACAGGAAGTACTACTACATGATGATGATCATGACACTACTATGCCATTGAGCTCAAGCATGATTAAAGAGGAGAACGTCGAATTTGATCGAAATGTTTTCGACGAGAGGTATGAGCCCATGATGTTTGAGTCCAAGGACATGGAGTTTTTTGAGGGATTGGGAGGTTTGGATCCTAATCCTATGAGCTTCTTCTTCTCCTCATCAGGAGAGTTTAAGTTGGATGAGGTGGGAGGTAGCGATAATAATAGCAAGGGTTTAAGTTTAGACCCTTTAAGCTACTTTGATACTTGGGATGATATCTAAGTTTTTTGATAATAATAAAAAAAGGACTGGTTTTGTGGAGACGGGCCCTGATAGCTAGGCCCACAAACACTGAGGGCCCATTGAACGTGGGAGAATATTGAACAGAAGCCGCCAACTGTTTGGGGAAGTACGTTTCATGTTTTTGAGATGCGACCGCATCAAAATCAAATTACATTGAAAGGAGGCAAAGGAGGTGGTCGTCAAATTGCGATTGGTTTGTCTTTTGATTTTTTTCGCTCCCATATTTGTTTACCTTTGTTTTTCTCCCCTCCTATTTTCTTTTGTGGAGATAATAATACAAACCTATGTGGTCGTTGATTAATAATGTAACGCCCCGTTTGGTACGCGGGAATAGACTCAAATGAGAATGAAATTGAAGAATGAATGGAATGGAATTAATATGAGAATGGAATAATCATTCTCATTCTCACGTTTGGGTGTAATTTATAAAATAAAGTGGGGATGGACGTATTTTAAAATTGTATATTTTATTGATTCTTATTTAAGTGGGAATGCACATTCCCTATCATTTCATTGGGAATGCACATTCCCACATAAAGTGAGAATTGATGAGAAGTGAGAATGAGCATTCCAACTGCAAAAAAAAAGGGTGTGTTTGGTAGGAAGAAATGAGAAGTGAGAATGATCATTCCATTCCACCCCATTCCCGCGTACCAAACGAAGCCTAAATGAAAGTCCAATGTTATTAAAAATGTGTGGAGCGTGTGAAACATTTTTTAAACCATTTAGAAAGATTCTATTATTTTGCTCTATCCAGTTAGCCAAAAAAATTGTTGCCGCAATAACGTTCTGTAACAAATGATTACCATTAGAGAATCAAAGATATGGTTTAATTATAACGATCAAGTATATATATCCTTTATTATCAAAAAATCCCAACGCGCGAACTGCCTTTATGATTCTCAAAGATTTTTCTCTGATAAAGTATTATTGAGAACGTTTTCTCCGAACATAAAAAAAAGTATTATTGAGAATGCACCTCATCATTTTGTATTCGCATATTATTTGCACTCAGATATAACAACATCGACATGCATCGCCGCCGAATTCAGTTCCTAGTTCTCGTTTTACAAAAGTGCACGATTGCGTATTATAAACCTAAGTCCCTTAGACTATTATTGTTTGAAAGAAAATAAATTTGTCTGAAAAAATAGGTCAAAAAATAAACTTACACAAATATCAACATTTGAGGTAAATTTACACGACATTTGAGGTAAATTTCTTGCCTACAGCTTCGGTGCTCCATAAAGATTTGTTAGAGCACTGATGGCATATCTGTAAATAATTTCCTTAAAAATAGCTCTCACATTTTTAGGTGGATAGATTTGGCGGTTAGGAGGTGTTCCACACCTAAAATTGTAATTAACTATAGGTAAAAAGGTTATTTTAGGAAATACAATTTAGAAGAAAACCAACATTTATGATTAGTTAGAATTCTCCAATTCATGTTATAATTTTTTAACGCCTTATCAAGTCACGCTCCGCTTTCCTGTAGAAATGATTAGTTATAATTTTTTAATGTGCGAAATTTCTTTTTGTTCAAAGTAAAATGATTGTAACGCTGACATCGTGATCTATCTTGATCTTCATAGTTGATGGTAAAGTGCTTACGTGGGGAAGAGGTACAAAAGGTCAGCTTGGACATGGCGAGGTAGTTAACTGTTTGAAGCCAAATTCTTATCTAATTTCAAATCAGTACCATTCGGAGATTAGCAAACAACATGTTATCAATTTTTCCACAATCAGAGAAAAAGTTAGGGTTCTAATGAGTGATTACGTACCTTGCTCCTGTTCGAACTCGTCGTGGCTATGGAAGAGACTCCTCTCAGGGAGCGGAGAAAGAAAATAATTTCTCTATGCAAGGCAGAGCGAACACGAGCGTCAATGGCAGAAATAAATTTTGAGAGGGAGAGATTAACGATGAGAAAGGGAAGAAGCAACGGAAGCTTTCAGGATATAAAGCAATTAGATAAGAATTTGGAAAGACTAAAATACCCCTTTCTTATCTTAACTGATTTTTTATTTTTGTCAATTTAAAAATTTGAAAAAAGGCTATTTTCGGAGCACCAAAGCAAACCTCAAATTTCTTTCAGAATCATCCGCATGCAATGGATGGTTCTAAGCCGCTAAATGAGGGAGCAAATTATCGTTTTGCCCCTCTTTAGTACATAAGAAGGCTAGAGTTGCTCACTCACATGCGAGGGGTTCTGGTAGGAATCATACAACGACGAATAGACCAGACCTCATGTAATTCTACTTGTGTGAATAGGTTTTAGAGTGATTTCTTTTGACTCTTAAAATAAGCAAATAAATATTTTGATGAGACATACATACCCCTTATAGTTCTATTGGTGAGGATAGATCCCAAATTACTTTTTTTTAACTCGTAAAAGAGTCGAATTTTTTTACTAAGGGGCTGTTTTGTTCAAATCCTTAAATTATAGGATTTAGAATATCTTCAAGGATTTCAAATCCATAGTTTTTTATACATATTCTGAAATTCCTAATCTTTTATTTGATTCAACAAGATTAGAGGAAAGCAAATCCTCTAATTTATAACTTCTTATTTGGTTCAAACCCAAAAATATAGGAAAGTACTAATTGTATGGATACCTAATGTCAAAACTTTAATTTTTTAGCATTTCGCAAATCCTCTCCAAATTGTAGGATTAAACAAATCCCAAAAGTTCCTAATTTTTTTCATTTTATGGATACTTAATGCTAAATTTTTTTGGAACAAACACGCTATATAGAATCTTATAAATAAAAATAAAGTACTTTTTTGCTCTAATAATTTCAAATCCACTTCAAATGGCAAACAATTTGTTAAAGCAAACAGCCCCTAAGGTGATGTATTCGCGCTTGGGAGTTGGGGCAATGCTAAGTTGGTCGATTCTTAACAAATAAAACTACAAAGTCTATTCTCAATTAACCTTATATTTAATTTATAAAAAAGCAATTAGGGGCTGTTTGGTTGTATGTTTTTACCATGTAAAAGGATGGAAAGTGTAAAAAAGTGGGTCCCAATGTCAGCTTTCATCACTTTCAATTGTTTGTTTGTAGTTGTGAAAATAATGTAAAGTGATTTCATATGCTGATGTTGCTTGTAAAGTGATTTCATAAAAAAAAAGACATGATTTTAGGAGAAAGCTGACATTGAAGTCAGGAAAAAATAATAAAAAATAATTCCAACCAATATGATCATTTGAGTAGGGATCACTTTTTACACTTTCCAAACAAACAATTAAAGTTACATTTACAAACCAAACAAGCAATTTATGATTCCAATGGAATAAAAAACAAACAAAGAAAAAATATAAAAGTAAAACTGATGAGGTGGACAACAACTTTTTAAATTGTGTCATAAATACACAACTTTACCAACAACAACCAAACAGCCCCTTAGGGCCTGTTTGTTTTGCTTCTTTTGCCTCTGATTCCCTGCCAAAACTGACAGCTTGCTGTCAGTTTTGACAGTTTTCTTACCAAAACGCCTCTAAAAAGAGAGTTTTGACAAGAAAGCTGCCTGTCAGGAATCAGGGGCAAAAGAAACCATCCAAACAGCCCCTTAGAAAGAAGCTTTCAGCTACGCGCAACACGTGGCAAGTTCTTATTCGTTCTGACACGCAGCACTTGACGCCTGCCGCCGTTGCTCACTGCTTTCTTTCGCGTGCTTAGTTTACCGCATATGTACTCTATGTATAATTTAATATCAACCGTCAGATTAGTGAACTCTAAAGATCCTACGGTCCAAAAGTTTTCGTATATGCCTTGTATGAGGATTTTTAATTAATTAATTAATTATAATTAAGCATCTTATATATAGTTCGTTATCTTTCTTTATTTTTTGTTCGTCTTATTTTCTTTCTTTGTTTTTTCTCACCTTGTCTCTCGCGCTAACGGAACCCTAAATTCCTGAGGTAAAATCCTAATCCCTAAGAAGTTTGATTTTCTATATAAAATTTTCCCGTGATCATGTTTGGTTCGATGTAGAACTGGATCCAATTTCACATTTTTGATAGTTTTGGATGATAAGGTTTCGTTTTTTTTTTGACAAAAATGTTTGAATTCTGATCTCATTTGGGGAATTCGATTTTATCGAATAGAAAGAATCATTTCTTTTTGGGAATATGTTTCCTGTTGGATTTTAGATTCGTTTCCATTGATCTTGGAGGATTGTTTAATAGGATTTATCTTGCATTGGACACGGAACAGAAATGTAGTTAATATTCCTAAATAATTTGGGCCAAAAAGCATTGTTATTTTTATTTATTTTTATACCCTTTGTTGCTTGTTGCTAAAAATTTAATGTTTATGGTTAATACATATGATAATTCTATGATATGCGCTATATAGAACATTTGGATTAAGGGTTTATAGGTAAATCCTGTTTTTGTAAATCAAAATTACAATTTAGGGGAACTCTTTTTTCATCTCAAACTGTGGTTGTGCATATTGAATATTGTGTAGACAGTGATTCGAACTCATACCAATAAAGATATTAATAAATTGACTGGTTTTGCTAAGCATTTGGTTATGATCATTATCGTTTGAGGTGCTGGTTAGAAAGTGCCATGATTATCCTCTGTTCAGTGGCTTGCTTTCATCGCGCACCAACTGAGATATGTCTTGCAGGTTTCATAAAGATGATGAAGCTCCGAACATATGCCAGCTTTAGCTTGTTTGCCTCAATTGCAGCAATTTACCATGCATTTCACAGCAGAGAGCAGTTTTACCCGGCGATGGTCTATTTGTCTACTTCCAAGATATGCTTTGTGCTTCTTTTGAATATGGGTTTGGTCATGATGTGCACAATGTGGCAGTTTGTCAAACGTTTGTTTCTTGGTACTCTCCGAGAAGCAGAGGTCGAGCGGTTGAATGAACAAGCATGGAGGGAGGTTATGGAAATTCTTTTTGCAATTACTATATTCCGACAAGATTTTTCTGTTACTTCTCTCTTGCATGGTTTTACCGCTCTTCTGTTGATTAAAGCCTTGCATTGGTTGGCCCAGAAGAGGGTTGAGTACATTGAGACGACTCCATCTGTTTCTTTAGTGTCCCATATTCGCATGGTTTCTTTCATTGCATTCCTTTTTGCGGTGGATTGCCTTTCCTTTCGCAGCTCTTTTAAGTCATTGATACAGGCATGGCCAGCATCACTCTCCCTTTTCTTTTCATTTGAGTAAGTTATCTCTGGTATTCAAGAACTTTATATTATTAGCATTTACATTGGTATTTCCTGTACTGGCTATTTTTTCCTTGGTTCTTATCTTTATATATCACCTTTAGCATCTTACTTACAGCTCATCTGTTATTTTGTCCTTTGAAATTCCTTTCAATTAAACAGCAGATATTGTTCATTTCTGAGTTGTTTCTTCCATTTTCAGGCATGGCTAATGTTAATATTTGAATTTTAAGTCTTTATTGGGATATCGGTAGGCTTTTTTGTGTGCAGATGGTGTTATAGTTAATATTATCATAGAACGACATGATGCGTTTTTTTGTATTTGAAATTATAACCTACATTCATCCTATTCCAGATATATGATACTGGCGACAACTACAATATCGACATTCTTGAAGTATGCTTTCTATGTCTATGACGTGTTTATGGAAGGCCAATGGGAGAAGAAGGCAGTCTTTACATTTTATCTTGAACTTGTCCGCGACCTTGTTCACTTGACTTCGTATATCTGTTTCTTTCTCATGATCTGTGCGTAAGTAATATTTTTATTTTCTCTGTATCATTATCGTTTAACATAGATGGAGTTGTCAACTAGCAGAAATTTTAGTGTTTAAATTCAATATTGATATTTCGCACTTCACTTGTACCTACTTTGTGTTTGAGCCATTAATAAGAGTTCACTGCGTTATCATGTAAACTGGCTGAACATGCTTAAAATTACTGAACAAGATGACTTGTAGTTATTTTTCATCAAAATTTATAACATATACTTATTCAATATTGGCACTGCATATAGGACATTTATGCTGAAACATGTAACTCCTTTATTTATTTATTTATTTATTTATTTTGAGGTGAAAAGGAGTACTTTAAAAACATGGATTTGTGGAGTTAAGGGAATAGTTTAAGATAATCTGTTGTTTCAGATGAAAACACAATTTTGCACTTCAAGTTGTGATTGTTTCTCCCACTAGCAAAAGTATGTTGTCTCGGTTAAATTTGATATTAACATGCATTTAGTCATCCATTTTAATTAGCCAGAAACAAAGGGTCATCTGTTTTCTGAAATGTTATCCTGCTTACTGACTCGTGATTGTAATAAAAATCACTAAATGCTCAGGAAAGTTAATCCTCATTTACAAACTTGATCTAAATTTTGTTGTTAAATTACTTACCCTAGAATGGTGAACCATAACTACGTCCTCCCTTTTCTTTTTACTAATTCCAATTATTGTTATAAAGAGTTGTATATCTGCCTGCAATTTTATAATATTGCAAGGTTCTTTTGGAAATTAGATTTTATTCCATAATCTGTTTTGTGATGCTTAATGTTTGAGCTGGGTGTTCCTTTCTTTTTTGATTCAGGAACTACAATCCACCATTGCACTTGATCCGTGAACTTTATGAGACATCTCGTAGCTTTAAAAATCGTATTTCTGATTACATTCGTTACCGGAAAGTAACGTCAAACATGGATGAAAGGTTCCCAGATGCAACACCCGAGGAGCTTAATGTGTAAGCTCTTTACGTAATTTGCAAGTATTTTCAGTGTGATGTTCCAGCTTTATGGTAGTTACATTACAAAAATTATTTACATATACAGAAGCGACGCAACATGCATCATATGCCGTGAAGAGATGGTCACAGCCAAGAAATTGCTTTGTGGACACCTTTTTCATGTGCATTGTCTGAGGTCATGGCTGGAAAGACAGAATACTTGCCCTACTTGTAGAGCTTTAGTTGATCCTTCTGAAAGTGGGCCATCTAGATCTAGCCGTCAAGGAGGTGAGATATCTCAAATTTCCTATTTTGACATTAATTACATGTATTTAATGTGAGGATGGACTCCAAAAATTATGCTTAAATCATGGTCTTGGTTCTTGGTGAAAAGGCTGGTGGATGACTGTAAATCTTGACACTGCAGCAAGCACATCCAGACCGAATCCGGAAGGTAGAGCAGCAGGTGATCACTTAAGCCAGCATCAAGCTAGGCTTGAAGCTGCTTCCTTCGCTGCTTCAATATATGGGAAGTCATCTATTTATCCTTCAACCAATACATTGCTTAGGTATGTGTCTTTTTTGTTTTATAAACTCACAAATTGATAATGCCCTCATCCATGAAGCAAAGTGTTAATTACAGATTGGGCCCTGTACTATAATCCAAATGCGGATAGACTCCCTGTTGTTCTATTGTTGCAGACAGAACCCTGGGTGAAATCTTTGACACTTTACCCTCAGAAAGATCCCTTCCTCCCTCCCTCCCTCTCCCTCCCCCTCGCTCGCTCGCTCGCTCTCGCTCGCATGTTGGAGAAATAGACCTCTTGAGAGTGAAAGAGTCAAAAAAGTTTCATTTAGGCAATTGGGGGATACCGGGGGGTCTATCCTCCCCTAAAGTAAATGACTACACCATATGCACATAAAGATGAATAAAGCAACCAATTGCTTTGCTTTTCCAAAGCATTGAATATTGAATTTCTCTAGATTGTGTTCATGATTCTTGTTTGCAGGTCTCCTGAGTATTCTTTGCTACCTCCAGTAAATATTCTGTCTGCAGATACCTCCTCCCCAGGGTTCAAAGAACAACCTGTAGGAGAGTCTGCATCTGGACAATTGCATCAGCACCAATTTTCAGTCTCGAATGTGCATTCACATATTCTCATGCCTTCTCTGCTGCCTGGTTCTAGTTTTAACTATGGTGAAAGAGCTCTAGACGATTCGGATTTGAATAAATCAGGCGCATATGAAACTTCTATAGAGACCAGAATTGAGGTAATTCTTTTTGTACTGTTTGCATTACTAGCATTTTTTTTCATGTCATACATGTGCAATAAAGAGTACAATAGTGATTAAAGGGAAGTACATAAATCCATGTAGTGCCCGCATGTGAGTAAACATAATACTTACGGAATCCCCCCCACCCACCAAAAAAAAAAAAGAAAAAAAAAGGAAATGGTCTGTCACAACCTTTTGGGTTCAGCTATTTAAAATATTTTCTTCAATTCATCTCTGTTAATTCATTCTGCTTTCCTTTTTTCTTTCCTCTATGTATCTTTAGGCCTTCCCTCTATTCCTTGTTTCCCCATTAGCTATGATCACGATGTTCCTCCTAACTTATACACGATGTTCCCCATTATCTCTTCATGATCTTCATTCATCTAAGCAAAACGAAGCTCATTTTCCCTACCCCTCACACCATGCTGTTTCATGCATCAGTCACGACTAGACAAGAAACAACTTTAAAAAACAAGTGCTTTCCTACAGAAAGCCCTCGTTCTTGCTCTTGTTCACGGCAGAACAGAGAGAAGTCATAATCTGTTTTATCTGTTAGAGATGTAAAAGCTGTATAAATTAGTATGAACAGTATAGATGTCATCTTACTGTTCTTTCATTGGAGACGCTATACTACGTATTTGGTGGTCTTCTACTGTGTTCAGACGTTGCGGATGCCCCATTCCTGGTTTCTTGGTTTCTGCTGACCGTATCACGTTTCATGGCCATATTTTCAGGCGTTAATTAGAGAGAAGCATGCTCTGCAGCAACAGTTAGAAACAGAGTTGCAAATTTTATGGCAACAGAAGGAAAATCAGTCGAAGGGGACTTCCCTCGATGACAAGGTAAAGGCTGTCGCTGTTTCTAATGAGGCATCAGGTTCTACTACATCTGCGTCAGGATGAGGAATGAAGATGTTGGTGCAGAGTTAAATCCACCATACAAGAGATTTTGTTGTTGTTAGTTATCTTTATCTTTTTATAGTTATCAGTTGCAACGAGTAAAGTCAAGGGAATGAGATAATAGGTTTCTCATTGCAGCATTATGTACATAACCGAATCTCTTCATGTATTCTGTTCTTTGAATTTTGTTCTTCAATATGAAAAGGAGAAGCATGATATCTCAATGTAAATAAATAAATTCAGACCAGAGGCTTTTTTCTTTTGGGTTAGAGTAATTACAATATAGTCTATAGGTTTATCTTCTTCCTCCTGTTCAGAGGTTTCGCTTCAGTGTTCTACTGGAATTTGGAGTTTGAAGGCTTCAGAATTGCTGTGCCTTTCTTCTTCTTTTCCTTGCGATGTTACATGTTATACAGTACTAAATTTCATTGCCTTCGATATTTCAGATAGTTACTGAACTACAAGCTCTCTTTAGTTTCTCTTGCTCGCACATTTTCATCCAGAGAAATAAAAATTTGGAGGATCTAGTGGGCGACAATTTACCACCGATAGTTAACCTCTTAGTTTTTGAGCTGTAAGCTCTCTCGGCACTCATAATCCACCCCTGAACACGTCATGGGGAGCTCTTATATCACACTAATGATCACATAGGGTCAGCCAGGGTTCTCGAGTACCAATAGCTCACAAACAGCAACGGATACTGAAAATTCGGGCATAAGCTTCCTGTATCAAAGATGTGCTTACGCTTCTCAGCATTTCATAAAGCTTGATTCAGAGTCAGACCATAGAATGCCACTCAATAGTCAGATTTCACTATGTACTCATCATAGAAAAGCCTCGTTCATTCTGATAAAAAGACAGCGAAAAAGAGAAACAAGAGAAGACCAAGGGCTATTGCATTAGATAACAAGAAGAGAGCTTCGGTTATCTGCTGTGTTTGCCATCTGTTATTGCTCTTAGATCAGAAAAACAGCAGGTTGTTCTCTCATGGAACTAGTAGCAATTAAAAAAATAGCCAACAAAAAACTGTTGTACATTCTCCAAAACTGGTACATGTAGAAATTCTGAAAGGAGCACAAAACAAAACAGAACACAGCAATGTTTGACTCATATCATAGTCTTGAAAGTTGGCACATAATGAGTTTCCCTGTCGTTCTAGTTGCAAAAGTTGAGCTTCTTCATAACCTTGGCATATGCTAGATGAACAGTCTCCGGCTTGCGAAGTCTCCGTTTCGATTTTTTGGACTGCAGCAAATGCGAGATTCCTAATTAGTTCAAATATCCATGGATGTAACGAATCTATGGTCGTATTCACAATGCACGTGAAGTATTGTTTAATATGTCATAACCCTTAGCTGAACTAAGAGGCAGGATTATTTTCACACAAGCAATTTACTGAAATGCAAAACAACTGCATATTGTGAATATAAGAAGTAAGTGGCTATGTTACTGGAGACCAGTTTAAGCTCTCTATTAGTAGTGATGACAGAACTGACAAAACAAATATAAGGTGGAGCATCTAGGCACCAACTGGTCAACTTCAGACAAGAAAAGCATTCCAAAAGAAAAGTAACAGATGATCTAGATGGAAATAATATATACAGTTGACCATTTTTGGATGGGTATGATGATTATGATCATGATTGTGACATAAAAGCTAGCAAAGTCAGTAGAGAGTCAAATTTTGATTCATGTCAAAAATCCAGCAATGTGGCTCAACAGGGTTTTTTACATCGACATACTTGAGAATGCACCCCTGGAGTGCAGAAAAGGTCTACTAGAGTCTAGACATTTGTCAAATTATGATTAGGACAATAAATCCTCGTGAGGGAACAATTCACTTTTAGCCAAATCTTTTTTGCTTCCATATTTACGAATCAACCTTGAGTGAAATGCATGAAAAATGCAGAATGCTATTGAGAATCTCAATTCTTCACTATGCACAAAATATATAGCACGCATATATTATGCCACTGATAAAAACAATTTAACTTCGTTAGAGAGCCAACTAGTGGTCCATGTTGACTGGTTTTAATAACATTAAACACGATTTCAGCCCCATTAAAGAGGATAATGCAATGGATACAGAGTCAAGATACAGATCTGACATGAGATAAAAAGGGGGGAAATAAACAACTGAAATGGCATCAGAAAAGGCAAAGGTTAATAGAATGGTATGCTTCTCAGTGAAGTTAGACTAAGGCCTGAATAAGGTGTTAGATTTTTTGGCAAGTTAAGAATAGCAGTAGACTGGCAATGGAAGTCTGGAGTGTGGTTAGAAAACACTACTTTCTTCCTAGTTCCTCCTTTATGTTATTCTGGCCTCATCTTGTTCCAGACATTTCAAATATATTATGTCCAAAAAGAAACTTGAGACCTGCACTTGTAGTTAGGTGTTCAATGTTACATGGCACAGAACTTCAACCTTTCACTTCGTATGCAAGCTTTCTATACAAACTACATCAATATGCTATATCTAATTCAAAATTAGGTTACTTGTGTTGTGGCAGCTTATCACTCCCCACCTTTAGTATTAGAAGAGGCTGCCTGAGTGTATAAAGATGTGGAAACTTTGTTACTCAGAGCTATCATGTGCAAGAAAACTTGCATTCGCAGTTGTGATTTTCAATGTTATACGACACATTTATGTAGAACTTTAACCTTGCACTTTGTATGCAAGTTTTCTATACAAACTATGTTGCATATAATTTAAACTTGGGTTACTTGTACATGCACCCTTGTTCTAGAGTTGTAGCAAATTATCATTCCTCATCTTTCTATAGGTAGATGGATCCGCTGAGTGTATAACGACATGGAAGCTTCGTTGCTTAGAGCAATCACGTGCAAACCCGACTTCTATAGTCAACAAGAGGTCTATCTGTTTATAACTTTATAAGAAGCAAGGTGCTGCGCATGTAGGGATGTGAGGGAAGTCACCTCTTGAATCCATTTGATCCCCGTGTAAGCTTAGAGGCGAGGTTCCACATCACTTAATGACGTATAGTAGGACGGAAAGGCATACCCTAAACACGAGAAGCGTACCACACTCCAAATGACTACTAACTATCGCACGCATGTAATAAGATATAAACAGTCTCTAGTGAATAAGATTTTACATGAAGTCAAAAGCTAAACATGACTAGCAATTTTATGGGAGCAAACCTAGAGAATCTTCATGGTTACGCATGCTATAGTTGAATTTCAGGATAATTGCCTCGTAGCAAGTTTTTGCATAGCAAACAAGATCGTACGCACGATGATACTTATTTTCCAATTGAAGCAACTTTTGTCATTTATTTACTGTTTAGCTTGCCAGAAAATGAAAAATAGCATGTTTTCTTGAGACAGATACAAACTCATGTATAATTTCTTAAGTTTTCTCATGTATAATTGCTTCAGTTTTCAGGTCCACAAGACTTTTTCCAAGAACAAACCCATCAAGAGATGTGCAAGTTCAGATTACCATGCATTCCAGCTATTTTTAAGTTCATAATACCAAATATGTCAACATGTATTTACCAAATGTACACTGTAGCTCATCGCTATTAGCCATAAACAACTTCAAATGTTAATACCCATCTCATCCCTTCCCATCAATCGCACTAAATTGCAACTATAATAAATATAAACACCAACAACTAAAATATGTTACAAAATTTTTTGGGAGCTTTAAAGAAGAAACCTATACCTTTGCGTGTGCATTATGAAGCTTTCCAGCTCTCCACCGTCGAATAGTCCCATCATTCAAAGGCCTGAATCTGTACTTAAAAGACCTAAAAAACACCAATCCAATTTTTTTTTTTTTAAAAAAACAGCAGATTTTTCACAATCTAAACGAATAAAAAGTTCCATTGAAAGATCTATCAAAATAAATCACACGCACGAGTAGCCCTTGATCTTGTACTTCTTCAGCTTCGAAGTCTCCGGCGTCCTCGGAGCCCTCGATCTCTCCTTCTTCTTCCTCTTCTTCACTAACCTCGACTTCGACTTCCTCTGAATCTTCGACTTCGTCTTCTTGCCGCTCTCCTCTGCCGCGTAACACCGGATTTGGGTTCCATCAAAACCCTTCAAAATCCAAACAAAACCCATTAAAATTCACGATCAGTTGGATCGAAGCCCTAACAAAAGATCAGATTTTGACGGATGAATCGAGAAATGTTTTCGTACCTTATGATTGGGAAATGGGGAGTGGAACCCTAGAGGGGGTGAGAAACGGGGCCTGGGAGTGGGAGAATTTACGGGGAATGCCACTGGGCTGGGGAGATTCGAAGGAGAGAGGAGGCGGAGGGAGGAGGAGAGGAGGTGGCGGCGGCGGAGAGTGGCGAAGCATCGCTGCATCGTATCTGCTTCGGGATTTTAGAGGGGAGAGGGAGCGGCTCTAAAGCCTCGTTGTTTTTCCTTTTCATGGGGGCATTTTGGGAAAGGGGCCTCATGAGGCGCAGGGGTGTTTCCGGCAGGGAGGGATGTTGGGTTCGATTAATCCAACGAACCCAAGTGGCCCAACCTACTCGATTTTGGATTTGATTTAAAGTTGCCATCGATTCAAGTTAGGATCAGGATGCTAACCACATTGGCTACGGGAGGAGAGAGGAGAAGACTTCCATTATTTTCATCGGTGAACGGTAACTTTAATCTGAATTTCTAGTTCAATTATTCATGTCTAGATCGTTAGATTTTTCCAACAGTGGTATCAGAGCACAGTTTGTACATGAGTTTTTGATCTAGAATTAAAGTTTTATTTTCGGATTAAATTTATTTATTTTTTAATCTCTGTACTCCATAGCCATGGCTGACTGTGGATTATTTGGGCATAAATTTTTTTATCAAAGGAACATCAACTAAATTCTTATTATTTTGAGCAAGATGTCATCCTCGCAGCCATGGCTACGGAACTTTTCCGCAGCAAATATATTTTTTTATCTTGGCCGCAGCAAATTTTTCCGCGGAATCTTTTCGCAAGTTAATATATATATACATATTTTGTATGCATGAGCTGCTCCTCACGTATATCAATGGCTGCTTGAAATAATTTTTTTTTTGAGATTTTCATCTGCTCCTTGCGGGGATAGGCATGGCGGCGGCAGTTTTGGGTCAGGTAGGTTTAGGGTTAGAGTTTTAGTTAATTAGTTAATTAATTTAATTAGTAAATAATTAGGTTAATTAGTATAATTAACTATCCTTTATTATTTGAGTTATATAATCCTATAACCCATTAAGGAAGACCGGATCCAGTATGTAATAGACCCGACCCGCTACAGTAATAGATTGGACCCATTAAAATTTTGACCCAATCCATTATCAAATGGGTCAGACCCATTAATTTCAGACCTGACCCATTACAGTTTTGACCACTCATTTTGTTTTGATCGCTACAGATCCGTTTTAAGTCCGTTTTGAGCCCATAAATAGTCGTTGGAAAGATCATTCTGTATACTTTTCAACTACATAGTTTTTTTTTTCATTTTATAAAGTTTTAATACAGGAATTTGGACAATTCATAAAGATTATTGTATGCACATAAAGATAATTGATTTACCCTAATTATATCCTTAATTCAGGTGGGGTAAATATTTGGGTTCATGATAAAACGGATTATAGTATTAGATCAACCTATGGGGTTAAGGAAGATCAGTAAAACAGTCACTTAGAAATTATGGTAGAGTAGGTTAGTGTCTTGCCCAAAGGTGACCAACCTATAATACCCTAATTTTCTAAGGTTGAGTTTAGTCTCATTTGGACTGGTAGGTTGCACTTATCTGTGGGTGGACTACTAGTCTTGCCCAAAGGTGTCTAGGAAATCCCCTACAGGATAAGTGGTGCAGGATAGTTGAAACATGTCAGTGAGAGGAGAATAACCCTATTGCCCAAAGGTTAGGAAGTGTTCAAATCAAACTGACACTGTGTAGGCTAGTTCTGTAGGTGATTATATATCACATTTGGGGGGCGAATAGCATGTCAAATCACTTGCCCAAAGGTGTGATGAGATGATGCACCCACCTGTCCCATAGAGTGAAAGGTTGCATACGTAAAACACTCTAACTCATCCATTCTAACCCTAAATTGGATGTGGAAATATTAAAGTTAATTAAATTAAAGGTCTCATTTGATTTATATGTCCATGGTTTAATACAGATGGACGGACAGTTTATCCAGAAGCGGAATGAGGAATCCGTTAGAGCGAGACAGTACAGTACAGTTTGTAGGGATTTAGTTCATGTTTGTTGTGAAACAAATTTAGTTGATGTTCCTTCAAATTCTTGGTGGATTGATTCTGGTGCCTCTGTGCACATTTCAACTTCATCACATGGAATAATCCACAGTCGGAAGGCAAGGGCAAATGAGCAGCTATTTTTGGGAAACTCACAGCCTATGAAGGTGGAGCTCGTTGGGACTTTCAGTCTGCGCTTGGATTCTGGAGTTTCCTTAGTTTTATCAGACACTTTCTACGTACCTTCTATGAGAAGGAATCTTATTTCAGTTTCTAGACTTTCTGGATCTGGTTATAGCTTTGTTTTCGAGAATAATTCTGTCTCTATCAGAAATGGTTTCGATGTTATCGGACATGGTTTCTTGATTGACGGTCTTTATAGATTAAATCTGGATGCATCTTTTCCTTCTCCTCTATGTATGTCTGTGAATTCATCTTCTTCTGGTACAAAGCGTCCTAGGCTTAATAGCAATTCTTCCATACTTTGGCACCGGAGATTAGGACATGTTTCAAGAAAGCGATTGGAATCCTTAGTAAAGTTTGGTGTTCTTGAACAGCTAGATTTCTCTGATTTTGGTACATGTGTTGACTGTATCAAGGGAAAGATGACTAAATTGAGAAAATTTGAAGCCTCCAGGAGTGAAGGTCTCCTTGACCTCATTCATACAGATATTTGTGGACCTTTTCCCACTCCCTCTCATGGTGGTCAGCGATACTTTATCTCTTTCATAGATGATTTTTCGCGCTATGCCTATATTTTTCTTCTTCACCACAAATATGAGGCACTGGATGTTTTCAAGATCTTTCAAGCTGAAGTTGAAAAACAATTAGAAAGAAAGATTAAATCCGTGCGTTCTGATCGAGGTGGGGAATTCTATGGTAAAAGCGATCAGGACGGCACAAATCATGGTCCCTTCATTGAGTATTTGAGGTCACAAGGCATTGTTCCTCAGTACACTCTCCCAGGTTCTCCGCAGCAAAATGGAGTAGCTGAAAGAAGAAATCGTACTTATCAAGATGCTGTTCGCAGCATGATGAGTCATTCAGATTTGCCTGAAAGTTTTTGGGGTGAGGCATTGAAGACAGCTGTATATATCATCAATCGTCTTCCTTGTAAGGCGGTAGCAGAGACCCCTTTCAAGCTTTGGACTGGCAGGGATCCTAGTTTTGGTCATCTACGTGTTGGGGATGTCCAGCAGAGGCACGACCTTATAATCCAGACATTAAGAAATTAGAAGCCCGAACAGTGTCGTGTCGCTTTGTCGGCTATCCTGCAAGATCTAAGGGCTACAGGTTCTATTGTTCTTCTCGGTCTACCCAGTTCTTCGAGACACAACATGCTGAGTTTCTGGAAGACCCTAATGCTTCTTCAGAACATCGTGGTCTGAGTTTTGAGGAAGTTTTAGAAGATGAGCAGTCGCTTCCGCTATTAGATGTCATCTCTAGATTTCCTACTCTTCCAGATAGCTTTCCACCTCCTCCTCCAGTTCAAGAAACATTTGTACCTGCAGAAGAGCCACAACCTGTTAGAAGATCCTCTAGAGTCAGAAGATCTGCCATACCTGATGACTATGAGGTCTATCTTCAAGAAAGTGGATGCATTGATCCAGAATCCGATGATCCCTCATCATACTCACAAGCTAGAGACAGCATTCATGCAGCTGATTGGCTAAAGGCTATGGAAGAAGAGCTTCAGTCAATGGAAAAGAACTCTGTTTGGGAGTTGGTACCTTTGCCGAACAAAGCTAGAGCGATGGAATGCAAATGGGTCTTCAAGACCAAAAGGGATTCTGAAGGAAATATTGAGAGATTCAAGGCCAGGCTAGTGGCCAAGGGTTTCAAGCAGAGAGAAGGGATTGACTACGTCGACACTTTTTCTCCAGTATCTAAGAAAGATTCTCTCAGGATAGTTCTTGCTCTCGTCGCCCATTTTGACCTTGAGCTCCATCAGATGGATGTCAAGACGGCATTCTTGAATGGAGATCTGAATGAGGAAATATTTATGGTGCAGCCTGAAGGGTTTGCAGTTAAGGGAGATCTGGTCTGCAGATTGAAGAAGTCAATATATGGTCTCAAACAGGCTTCCAGACAATGGTACTTAAAATTTCATCAAGTGATAACATCAAATGGCTTCCGAGAGAATCCTGTCGATCGCTGCATATACCTTAAAATCAGTGGGAGCCGATTCCTCATTCTAGTATTATATGTAGATGATATATTGCTTGCCAGCAGCGATATTCATCTCCTACATGAGACTAAAGATTTTCTTTCGAGGCATTTTGATATGAAAGACCTCGGAGATGCTCATTATGTTTTGGGCATCAAGATCCATAGAGATCGAACTAAAGGCTTGTTGGGCTTATCTCAAAGGGCTTATATTGAGAAAGTCCTTCAACGATATGGCATGAAGTTTTGTGCACCAGGTGAAGCCCCAGTTGTCAAAGGAGATATGTTCAACAAATCTCAATGCCCACGAAATGAAGTTGAGCGTAGGCTCGTGAACTCTGAGGAGTATGTCTCTGCAGTTGGCAGTCTAATGTATGCGGTGTCATGCATCAGGCCAGACATCAGTTATATCGTGGGAATATTAGGCAGGTTTCAGCAAAATCCTGGTGTAGCTCATTGGAAAGCTGTAAAGAAGGTTTTGCGGTATTTGCAGAGGACCAAGGATTTCATGTTGGTCTACAGAAGGTCTGAAAATCTAGAAGTCGTTGGTTATTCAGATTCAGATTTCGCAGGATGTGCTGATAGCAGAAAATCAACATCAGGTTATATATTTCTGCTCGCTGGAGGAGCAGTTTCCTGGAAAAGTGCCAAGCAGTCCTTAGTGACGACATCCACCATGGAGGCAGAGTATGTTGCTGTTTTTGAAGCAACATTGCATGCCTCTTGGCTCAAGAATTTCATCAGTGAACTAAAGGTGGTGGATTCCATTCAGAGACCAGTAAAATTGTATTGTGACAATCAGGCAGTCGTACAGTTTGTAAAGAACAAGAATTTTTCTAGCAGGAATAAGCACATCGGTGTGAAGTACTTGTTAGTCCTTGATAAGGTCGAACAAGGATTGATTGAGGTTCCTCATCTGCCGACTCAATTGATGATTGCTGATCCTTTGACCAAGGGAATTTCTCCAGGGCTCTTCAAGGAACATGTATCCAGTATGGGTGTTTTAGAGTCTTTTGATTCTATATGATC